TGGTGTTTAGGAGTGGGGACTCTAATCTGGGAGCAACGAGTTTGATTCCCCACTTCTCCACATGCAGCTGGTGTGACCTTGGGTCAGTTACAAGCTTTCAGAGCTGTTCTCTCAGGAGCAGCTCTTGAGAGAGCTCTCTCAGCCCCACCTACCTCACAGGGTGTCTGTTGTGGGGTGGGGAAGGGAAAGGAGATCGTAAGCCACTCTGAGACTGTTTTGGGTAGTGAAGAGCGGGGTATAAATCCAGTCTCTTCTTCTTCTAGGACACAAATGCTGTTGCCGACCAAACGCCTCATGGAGCTCCTATAAATATGTTTTGCCTTTCTCTTATTCTTTGGCTACAACTCCTAGAACTCAGAAGTATACTGCCACTGAATATGGAGGCTCCATTTTGCTATCATGGTTAAGCCTGAATTTTTTTTCTCCCTAGGACTACAGAGTATAACAGGAAAGCTTTCTAGGAGTAAAATGAAAGGATGGAATTGCATCTAAATGGGAGTACCCCACTGGGCAAGGAGCTATCATGCAGTTAAGGAGGAACAGTTTGGCAGCAAAGGACTGACTTTTGGGGATGCATTAAGTGTTATGGGTCACCAGCTGGAACCATTGAGGGGTGCAATGGGATCCTCTATGGGTCTGGAAAGCAGGTTCCAGTTATGGGACATAGTGGGGAAGAGAGGAGAGAAGAAGTCTACATAAACTGGATAACACTCAAGGCTTGATAAAACCCAGACAACCGGCTCACCATGGCACCTAGAAATTTCGTTGTGGCTCCCAGTATTAGAAAATATGGTCATAAATATATGCATTAAGTGCCATCAAGCCGCTTCCGACTCAGGGCGACCTTATGAATAACCTCCAAAACATCATATCGCTATAAACAGCCTTGCGAGGGTCCTGCAAAGCGAGGGTCGTGGCTCCCTTGATGGAGTCAGTCCATCTCACGTTAGATCTTCCCCTTTTCCTACTGCCTTCAACTTCTCCTAGCATTATTGTCCTTTCCAGTGAACAAATAACTAAATGAGTATACAAAACCCTGAAGACTGAATAATGAGCCTGGCTTCTGAATTTGGGGGCTGGCTTCTAGAGGCAAAGAAAAAATTTCAAGGTCTGGCTGAGATAATGAGGGTTGGGGAAACTTATGAAGCAGCATTATACCCAGGGCTTTTTTTGTAGAAAAAGCCCAGGAGGAACTCATTAGCATAATAGGCCACACCCATGACAGCACAGCTCATTGGCATATTAGGCCACACCCCCATGTTACCAGAAGTGTGCTCATCCAGCCACACCCACCTTTTGCTTGTTATTCTGTTTACCTTGTTTGTTGTCCAAACCCAGGGCTTTTTTGTAGCAGGAACTCCTTTGCATGTTAGGCCACACACCCCTAATGTAGCCAATCCTAATGAGTTTCTGCTGTTGGGTGCGGCCTATTATGCTAATCAGTTCCTGCTGGGTGTGGCCAACTTGGAAGCCAGCCGGAACTCCGTTCCTGTGTGTTCCTGCCCCAAAATAGCCCTGATTATACCAAGCCTGACCCCGTTCCTGTGTGTTCCTGCCCCAAAATAGCCCTGATTATACCAAGCCTGACCCCGTGGTCTATTAAGGCCAGGACTGTATACTCTGATTGGCTCTCCGGAGTCACAGATCAAGGTCTTTCCCATCTTTCTCCTGTCTGATTCCTTTCAGCTGGAGGTGCTGTGGATTGAACCTGGGGCCTTCTGTACGCAAAGCAGATCCTCTACCACCAAGCCACAGTCAAAACCTCCAAAATGAAGCTTCCTTCTACTGAGTCTGGCCACTGGGTCTATCAAGGTCAGTACTGCCTACTCCGAATGGCAGCAGCTGTCTGGGATCCCGGGTGAAGGTGGGTTGCATCTCCTACTATCTGATTCTTCTAGCAGGAAACGCCGGGAATTTTACCTGGGGGACCTTCTGTTAAACAAGCATTGCTGAGCCACAGTCCCCATGACTCAAAGCCTCTGGTGGAATCCCAAAGGATGGTGGGGGGAATAGGCCTACAGGGTCATTCTGTGGAGATGGGAAGAGACAGTATATGCCTTGTATCCAGAATACCATGTTTTGCAAGGAATAATTGTGATTGCTTTGGGTTTAGAGTTCAGGATGGGGGCCCTTGGACGAAGGGAAGCTTGGGCAGAGAAAGGTTTGCAGCCTGGACAATGGGGATCACATTCTAGAGGTCTAGGCAGCCCAAAGAAGAGAGTGACTCCAGATCTGCATCTGGTTGAGCAAAGGCATCCCATGTGACCAGCCTGGCACTGTGGTATAAAGCATTGAGGAAACCCACTCCAAGCAGTGCAGCAGGCTAGAGAACTCAATGGGTGTTAGGAAGCCACGGTGTTAGGAAGCCAGTGAAGACGCTGAACAGCAATGGAAACTAATGAGGGGGACCCAACGTACCCTGGGGTGCAGCCAGCCTACCAAGAAATCATCCTTATCAACTCGCCATGGTTCCTAAAGGGAACCTCCACGTCCAGAGGCAGTCAATCTCTCACTACCAATGCCAGGAGGGAACATCTGGGAAAGGATCACTACCAATGCCAGGAGGGAACATCTGGAAAAGGACTCAGAGAAGGAGGAGACTGGATTTATACCCCACCCTTAGAGTCTCAGAGCCACTCGCAATCTCCTTCCCTTCCCCTCTCCACAACAGATGCCCTGTGAGGTCGGTGGGGCTGAGAGAGCTCTTTCAAGGACTGCTCTTGAGAGAACAGCTCTGAGAGAACTGTGGCTTGCCCAAGGTCACCCAGCAGCTGCATGTTGGAGAGTGGTGAGTCAAACCCAGTTCTCCCAGATTATCCACGCTCCTAACCACTACACCACGCTGGCTCTCTTATGCCCTGTTCTTGGGCCTCCAGGGTAACTGGTTAGCCACTGTGTGAGACAGTATGTTGGACTAGATGGACCACTGGTCTGATTCAGCAGGGATTTTCTTATGTTCTTATCCTAAGGATAAGGCTACTGAGATGGGAACACCCGGTAAGGTATATCTAATGTGAAACCTGGAAGTTTACCAGCAGAATGAGGGCACCTGAACAGGCCAAGGAATTGACCCAGAGCCCTTAGAGGAGATCATAAGAACATAAGAGACGCCAATGTTGGATCAGGCCAAAGGCCCATCCAGCCCAACACTCTGTATCACACAGTGGCCAGAAATACCAGGTGCCATCAGGAGGTCCACCACTGGGGCCAGGACATTAGAAGCCCTCCCACTGGTGACCCCCCCCAAGCACCAAGAAGACAGAGCATCACTTGCCCCAGAGTTCCTATCTATACCTTGTGGGTAATAGCCACTGATGGACCTCTGCTCCATAGGCTTATCTAATTCCCTTTTGAAGCCGTCCATGCTTGTAGCTGCCACCACTTCCTGTGGCAGGGAATTCCATGTGTTAATCACTCTTTGGGTGAAGAAGGACTTCCTTTTATCCGTTCTAATCCCATGTGATGGGGAGGAGGGAACCTGTTTAGGACTGATCAGCTACATGACGCTTGGCAACAAACTGCCACTCTTAGAAAAGGGAGAGCCTGAGCATCTATATACAGACCCATGATATAGGGTTGCCAGGAGGGTGAGGGAGTGTAAAAGGTATCGTGAACCACTCAGAGGTCCTCTGACCTAGGTGGCCCAGGCTAGCCCAATCTCATCAGATCTCGGAAGCTAAGCGGGGTCAGCCTTGGTTAGTATTTGGATGGGAGACCACCATGAAGGTCCGGGGCAAACCACCTCTGCATGTCTCTTGGCTTGGTTGCCATACGTCAGCTGAAACTTGATAGCCCCTGCCACTACCACCAAATGCGATAATAGATCGAGAACCAGCGTGGTGTAGTGGTTAGAGGGGCACCCTCGAATCTGGGAGACCCCGCTTCGAATCCCCACCCTGCCATGGAAGCTTGCTGGGTGAGCCTGGGCCAGTCACACTCTCTCGGCCTAACCTACCTACCTCACAGGGTTGTTGTGAGGATAAAACAGAGAAGACTGACGAAAGCCATTTTGGGGTCTCACTGGGGAGAAAGGAAGGATATAAATGAAGTAAGTAAAGTAGAGGAAGGATTTAAAGGGGATCCAAGGAGACCAGGATTCAAATCCACACCTGCCATAAAACTGCTCTGTCAGTCCAGCCTACCTCACAGGGTTGTTGTGCAGATACAATGGAGACAGGGAGAACCACATAAGCCACCCTGAGCTCTTGGGAGGGGGGGGGAATGCCCTAAACCAATAAAGAACAGACATTAGGGAAGCAAGCTAGTGGCACCAAGAGAGTTGGGGGGCAGCTGGGGCAGTGCGGAAGTGGAGGGAACAAGCAAAGCACCAGTATCCAATGAAAAGTGCAAGAGTCCAGCAGCACCTTAAAGACTAACAAAATATGTGGCAGGGTATGAGCTTGTGTGAGTCACACTGCTCGCTTCTTCAGATACAGCTAGAACGGGAGTCCACCTGTCCTATTTATTGGAAAGTGGAGTGATTTCAGATGCCGAACCGAATAGCATTAGCGGGGAAATGACAATAGCAGGTGAATAACAACAGTGGGCGTGACTGAATTTAGGCAAGATATGCAGAGGGGGGAAAAGGCCTGGGGAAACCAGCACTGGCAATGAGACAGGAAACCTAGGTCTCGATTCAAACCAGGTGTGTGCACTGTCTTGAGCTTCATTCTCAGCTGCAATTCAGCAGTCTCCCTTTCTCCTCTCCCTTTTGAAATTCCTTCGTAAGGGCACTGCCACTTTTAGGGAAAATATCCCATGAAGAAAGGACGCAGAAGGGACCATCCTATAACAACTTCGTGACTTAAACCATTTTTTTTAAAAAAATAAATACCCTCTGGGTAGCATGGAGGCAAGTTAATGGGCGGCGGGAGGGGACTCCCTTAAGGCTCCGGGGGCGCCACGTGGGCGGCGGCGGCGGGAAGGCTCCGGGGCGACCGAGCGGGGTTCCCGGGCTGGGGCGTGCTGGCCGTCTTCCAGCCGCAGCAGCCGCCACTTACCGGCGAGTCGTAGGAGAAGGCGCACTCGGTCTTGTAGACGCGGTCGCCGGTCTTGGGCACCCGGATGGTGGGCATGTAAGGGATCAGGAGCTCGCCCACGTCCCCCGCAGCCATCGGCGTCTCCCGGCCGTTCCCGAAGAGCGCGGCCCGCTCCATGCTCGCCGCTGCTGCTGCTGCCGGCCGGGTCGGTCACTCGCTCGCGGGGACAGGGCAGCCGCAGGCGTCGGCTCGCAAGCCAGGCGGGACGGAGGGCAGCCGACCGACCCCGGGGGGAGAGGCGGAGGAGGAGGAGGCGGTGGCAGCGCAGGGGCCCAGGCGGAAAAGCTCAGCCCAGCGGCCGGAGGGGAGGGGGGGGAGGAGAGATGCTATTTTTACTCCAAAGGCGGCAGCGAGAGCCGCACCGGCTGCTGCAGCTGCAGCAAGGAGGCTCCCCGCTCGGGGTGGGGGGGGGGTTCCTCCAAAGAGAGGGGTCGTTTGCAAGCCGCGCCCAAAGAGTCCCTTGCAAGGCGGCCTCTTGGGCCGGAGAAGGGGGAGGCGCTCTGCCCATGGGCAGGAGCAGCCTCTCCTTTCCCCCAGGCCGAGGAGGAGGGAGGGCGCGGCGTTTGGAAGACCGAGAGATGTGATTTTGGGGGGGGGGGGGGACTGGTAGAAAAAGAGAGAGATCAGGGGGGGAGATTTGGAGGGGAGTCGGGGGAACCCAAGGTTGGTGAAGTCAATAGGGGAGGTAAAACGGGGTGGGCGGGAGCGGGAATCCAGACCTGGCGGAAGATTAAATGGCCATCACCTGTTGGGAGGTGGGAGTTCATTGGGAAAGGAAACCATTGATTGCTTGCATTTTTATCCCACTCTTAGGCCAAGGAGCTTTTATTCCCCACAACAACCTTTTGAGGTAGGTTAGGCTGGGAGGGGGGTTGAAGTGAGTGGCGCAGAGTTATCCGTGATTTTGGAGATGGTGCTTTTGACCCTGACCTGTGATTTTTCAAAGAACAAATTCTACACTTTGAGCCTCTAACCTGTTGTGTCCGCTGACCGCCACCAGAGGCCAGCGCACACTCCTGAGCTTCAGTCCGGCACAACAGTAGGGACTAGGATCCTAGTCCCTCCACTGAGGGAACCAATGGGACCGTGGCGGGAGATTCAAACCCGCCAATGGGACCCAGGGGTGTGTCCCCTGGTTGTGTATATAGTTGGCCTGCCGGCCGTTTGTCCCCTGTCCTTGTTGTGTACCAATAAAGCGTGCTATGCACTACGTCGTTGTTTGTCGTTCGTCTACGTGGCAACCCACTACACAATATAACCTAATACAGAAACCGTACTGGATGTAAGCTACTGAGATATCCCGGCCCTCAGTATCCGGTCTCACACTTCACTGGATCCTTTGTCAGGCTAGCACAGTGGTTTTCAGACACCCCAGGAATGTGACTTTAAAATTTTCATAGACCTCCCAGTCCTGCTGCCTCTCCCCCTGCCCCATAAAAGATGAAAAATGTAAGAAATTTCACCCGTGAATAAGTATCTTCTGTTCCTCGCTGCATAGACAACAGGAGAGACTTCCAAATCAAACAGTCCGGGCCATTTCAGACAGCTTCTGTGAGCCAGTGTTAGCGTAGTGACTGGAATCTAGGAGATCTCTGGATCAAATCTCACTTCTGCCACTAGCGTGAATTTAAGCATGCAGCAATCTCAGAGCTTTGTTCAGCGGTATCATGGGTAAAGCAAACTTACACCAACGTTCTGGGGCAATCATTAGCCCACATTTAGGCAGACTAGCTGGCCTGTATAGGGGTAGAGGGCTCCTTTATTAAGTGTTTGAAAAGTGTGTCAGAGAGAGTGTGCTGGCCCCAGTCAGTGTTATCTGTAGTTTAGTAAAACTGCTCTGTATCTTTAAGACTTGTTGCACCTGGGAATTGGAGTCCACAGTTAGGGGTCCCAGAAGCTTCCCTCTGACTGGCTCATTAAGAGTAATTTCCTGAGCTCAGAGGCGCAAAGATAGGAGTTTTATTGTTCTTTTCCGTTTCTTTGTCCATCAACCCTTACTGCAAGGAGAGGGGAAGCCCATCTCTTTCTCACCGCGGCTATAGAACTGACCTAGATCACAAGACTCCTGCCAACCTAGCAGTTCGAAAGCAAGAAATTGCAAGTAGATAAATAGGTACCACTTCGGTGGGAAGGGAACAGCGTTCCGTGCGCCTTGGTGTTTAGTCATGCCGGCCACATGACCATGGAAACGTCTTTGGACAGGGCTGGCTCTTCGGCTTTGAAACGGAGATGAGCACCGCAACCCTAGAGTCGGACTCGACTGGCTTTCGAGCAAGGGACACCTTTACCTTTACCTAGATCACAAGATGTAACTTTCCACCCTGTTTCGTTCTCCTGTTACCCCTGGAGTCAGATCATCTTTGTAATTTGTTTGAACAGCATTTTCCCCTTACCCGGGAAACGTGGAGGACTGGGGATACTGTGAAAAGCTTCTGTGCTTCCGAAACAAATAATAATTATTATTATTATTGTTGATTATGATGATTATGATAATTTAATCTAATGCATTTATGGCGGTGGAAAGTGCCATGAAGTCACAGCTGATTTATGGCAAGCTCACAGGGATTTCAAGGCAAGAGATGAACAGAGGTGGTTTGCCATTGCCTCTCTTCATAATAGCTTTTATTTTGTGTACCAAAGTTTGAGTCCAGTGGCGCCTTTAAGACCAACAAAGTCTTATTCACGGTATAAGCTTTTGTGTGCAAGCACACTCCCTCAGATACAGATCCCCTGCACATGGAACCTTATACCTTGAATAAAACTTTGTTGGTCTTAAAGGTGCCACTGGACTCAAACTTTGTTCTGCTACTTCAGATCAACACAGCTACCCTACCTGATTTTATTTTGTGTGTGTGTGTGTCTGTGTGTGTGTTAGGTGCCGTCTAGTTGCTTCTGACTTATGGCGACCCTCTGGATGAATGTCCTCCAAATCATCCTGTCCTTAACATCCTTGCTCAGGTCTTGGAAACTGAGGGCCTTTGTGGCTTCTTCGACTGAGTCGATCCATCTCCTGTTGGGTCTTCCTCTAATCCCACAGCCTTCAACCCTTCCTAGCATTATTGTCTTTTCCAGCAGTTCTTCTCTTCTCAAATACCTTTCATCAAGGCTTTTTTTTCCGTAGAAAAAGCCCAGCAGGAACTCATTAGCATAATAGGCCACACCCAACAGCTGAAACTCATTAGCATACACACCCTGACAGCGGAGCTAATTAGCATATTAGGCTGCACCCCCCATGTTACCAGAAGTGTGGTCATCCAGCCACGCCCACCTTTTGCTTCTTATTCTGTTGACCTTGTTTGTTGTCAAAACCCAGGGCTTTTTTTGTAGCAGGAACTCCTTTGCATGTTAGGATACACACCCCTAATGTAGCCAATCCTAATGAGTTTCTGCGGTTAGGTGTGGCCTATTATGTTAATGAGTTCCTGCTGGGCGTGGCCAACATGGGAGCCAGCCGGAACTCCGTTCCTGTGCGTTCCTGCCCAAAAATAGCCCTGCCTTTCATTAGAATCAACCAAAACAACACAAAACGCACACACAAAACGCACAAGCTTCCAAGCTCACCAGAACGCTTCATTACAACATTAAAAAAGAAAACAACATTTTCCAGCTCATGGTCTTTAGATCTCATCTTGCTAGTGTTCTCTGTAAGAATTCTGAGCTAGCATACTGTTTTTGAATTGCTGCACGGCCTTTGCATCTTAGGAGAAGAAGTAAATAATTAGGGTTACCACATTCTGAAAAACAAAAAAGAGGGCATATTTCCCAACTGAATATGTCACAGTGTTTACTACGATTTTAAATACCCCTGCTATTTAAGCTGTGATCAGGGGTCATTTCCTGCGGGAGCGCACAGGAGCGGAGCTCTGGCTGTAAGGAGCCCAGGGGGCGGGCAGATGCAAACATGCAACAAGCCCCACCCCCTGCTCCCAGCAGCCCTCAGTTGGGCCACGAGGAGCAAGAAGCAGCCAGGTAAGTTGCAGAGCCCACCCCCGGCCCACCTTCAGGTACAAGCTCTCCCTCCTCTGTGAGGACAGATCTGCACGCCCCCCCCCCCAATAGCTAGTAATCCAAAACAGTCCAGTGGAGCCTGAGTGGTGGGTGTTGCCTTCTGACACACTTCCGGTGATGTCAGGGGATGTGGCATATGCTAATAAGTTATGCTAATGAGCTCCTGTACTTCTTTTTCTATGAAATGACCTCTGGCTGTGATAATTGCTACTAACTAGGAATATTCCTAACTTTCCAACCCCAAAAGAGGACATTTTCATCACCTTTTTTAAAGAACCCAAAAGAGGATAGACACGCCAAAAAAAGGACATAAAATAATGAAGGATTCAAAAGTGACTCCATCACAGGCCAGACGGGATAGCAGAGAGGAAAGATGATTGTGGGCAGTGCTGTGAAGAGAAAGGGCCATAGTAGAGGCTGTTTTTCAGGACGGAGGAGGTAGAGGAGTGGTTGGGCTTATACCCCGCCCTTCACTCAAGAGTCTCATAGCATCTTACAATCTCCTTTCCCTTCTACTCCCCACAACCGACACCCTGTGAGGTAGGTGGGGCTGAGAGAGCTCTAAGAGCTGCTCTTGAGAGAACAGCTCTGAGAGAACTTGTGACTGACCCAAGGTCACACCAGTAGCTGCAAGTGAAGGAGTGGGGAATCAAACCCGGTTCTCCAGATTAGAGTCCGCCGCTCTTAACCAGTACACCGAACATCAGATACAGCTCATAAACATCTGGACTAGTCTCTCATGTAGCGTCATAGGTACTGACACCCTGAGGAACTGTTGCCCTCTAGAGGACCGCAGAAGCTAGACGTTGAATAAGGCAAAAAAAATTGTCTAGGACTCAGTGTGCACACCACAGAAGAAGTGGTAGAATGCTTGCTAGACTGCAGGTGGTGCCCATCTAGTCTAGCACTCTGTTCACACAATGGCCAACCACCTACCTCTAGGAAGAGGAAGAAGAGATTGGATTTATACCCCTCCTTTTCACTACCCAAAGGAGTGTCAGAGCGACTCACAATCTCCTTTCCCTTCCCCTCCCCACAACAGACACCTTGTGAGGTTGATGGCGCTGAGAGAGCTCTTTCAAGGACTACTCTTGAGAGAACAGCTCTGAGAGAACTTGTGACTGACCCAAGGTCACACCAGCAGCTGCATGTGGAGGAGTGGGGAATCAAACCCGGTTCTCCCAGATTAGAGTCCACGCTCCTAACCGCTACACCGAACTGGAAGCCCACAAACAGGAAGTCTGGAACAGCACCATCCTACCTGTGCTCCCCAGCTACTAATTTAAAGAGGCATTTGACCTCTGGTACTGTGGGGAGTAGACAACCATCGTGATTAGTAGCTATGGGGAGCCCAGTCCTGAATTTGTCCAGCCCTCTTTTAAATCTCTCCAGGTTGACAGCCATGACCACATCCTGTGGCAGTGAGTTCCAGTGCTGTGTGAAGAAATACTTCCATTTGTGTGTCCTGAATCTCCCACCTTCAGCTTCAGTGGATGACCCCGGGTTCTAGTCTTACAGGAGAGGGAGAAAAGTCCAGCATGCTTTGCAAGAATCCCAGAAGTCTGCCAGTGCTCACACAGTGGCTCTCTGCAAACTGGCCAGTGGTCCACAATTTGCTTTCTCCCTGGGTTAGAAGTTACAGAAGAAGGACAAGTAGCCCTCTACCATGGCCCTTTGTCAGGAACTATTTTTAAGATGCAGGTTCCTAGTGATCAATAGAGAACAAGGACAACTGTCGAGAATGATGTATAAATAATTTCCTGCAGGTTGCCAGTTTGGTGTAGTGGTTAAGTGTGTGGACTCTAATCTGGGAGAACCGGGATTGATTCCCCACTCCTCCACTTGCACCTGGCTGATGACCTTGGGCAAGCCATAACTCTGGCACAGCTGTTCTTGAAAAAAAGCAGTTTCTGTCAAGAGTTTTCTCAGCCCCACCTACCTCACAGGGTGTCTGTTGTGGGGAGGGGAAGGGAAAGGAGTTCGTAAGCCGCTCTGAGATACCTTTGGGTAGTGAAAGGCAGGGTATAAATCCAATCTCTTCTTCTAATATACTCATGTTTTCAGCCAACACACCTTCAACAATTTATCAACAATCATGAGAACTAGAAACTCAAGCAGGGGTCATTTCCTGCAGGAGCGCACAGGAGCGGCGCTCCGGCAGTAAAGAGCCCAGGGGGCGGGCACATGCAACAAGCCCCACCCCCTGCTCCCAGCAGCCCTCAGTCAGAGCAAGAAGCAGCCAGGTAAGTTGCAGAGCTCCTCCCGGCCCCCCAGTCCAAAACAGTCCAGTGGCACCTTTAAGACCAAGTTTTATTCAGGCAGAAGCCCCCCCTCCTCTGCAAGGACAGATCTGCACATTCCCCCCCCCCAATAGCTAGCAATCCAAAAGAGCCCTAGCCTGAGCGGTGGGTGTTGCCTTCTGACACACTTCCGGGGATGTCAGGGTGTGTGGCATATGCAAATAAGTTATGCTAATGAGCTCCTACACCTCTTTTTCTACGAAATGACCCCTGAACACAATTATCCCTTCTCTGGAGGGAAAAACTTACACAAACTGTATCTGGGCATATTCATGCTCCAAGGCAAATTCCTACGCAGTAGGAAAATGTTCCACAATAAAAATCTATCTGTACTGGCAGAAGACATCATGATTCACAATATCCAAACACCCAGAGCCTGAAAACATGAAATTTGAAAACATCTGTAATATCTGGAAACCCTGTGCATACCTGGGTTCTTTTCCTACTTTTTCTTTGTGGTAAGGTTAATGTTCTTCAAGATCCACAGGAGTTAGCTGTGTTAGTCTGTTGCTGCAAAATAGCAAAAAGCCCCTTAGCTCCTTTAAGACTAACCAACTTTGTCGTGCATAAGCTTTCGAGAAACACAGCTCTCTTCGTCAGGAAGAGATTCATCTGACAAAGAGAGCTGTGTTTCTTGAAAGCTTATGCTACAATAAAGTTCGTTAGTCTTAAAGGTGCTACGGGGCTTTTTGCTGTTGTTCTACAAGAGGGGCTGTAGCTCTCCTACAGATGTAAAATTCCGGAAATTTTGAAGCTACGGGGGGGAAATGTGGGGGTTTTTCCCCTTCCACCCTACGAAAAAAATGAATTGGGGGGAAGAAATTGAAATATATGCAATACTTACTGTCCTATCAAACCTAAACTAATTTTTACTTCTTTCACAACACAGATGCATCATTTATAACTTGCTTAGCATTTAAAATTGCAATGTTTGACATATTTATGGAATTTTTAGATCCTGTTGGTCTTTAAGGTGGTACTGGACTGGAATCCAGCATGTCTACAGTATGGTCACGTTGTCTTTGAAAAACATTTAACTCATTCTAAAAAAGAAAATATTTTCATTTGGGTTTTTTTTCCAGTACTCCCCAGATTTCTAATTTTTCCATTGGAAAAACTGGGAAAAGGCCTTGGGGAAAAAATAGAGGGGGGAAATCCACCCCCCCAAAAGAATATTTTCCTAGGCCTTCACATCTCTAATTTCTCCAGAGCGCTTAAAAATGCTTGTCTTGATCAGTGTTTTCTAAAGTCAGGGAAACTACTTATGGGGAGTTCCCCCCCCCCAAATACATTTTATGGGCTGGGGTAACAAAGACCCTAACAGGAGAATTTCACTGGGTCGTTTTATACCAGGATGCTTTTTTTTGTTTACAGAAAGAAAATTCCAAGTGATAATGTGGCTGTACTTTGGAGACCTTGTTTACTGATGTGCAGGGGACTATGTCCTAGGCCTACAGCCAGCCCCCTGCAATGCAACTGTGGTGGAAATTCATCCCCAAAGAAGTTAGCAAGAAGTGAAGCATCTTAGCTTTCCAGATTGTAAGTGAACACTCCAGTCTGGAGTAACTCAGCATTGTATTATAAACCACCTGGTTGATGTATCACGTTAACTGGAAATCTACAGCCCGTATCTGTATTGCAGTGCCAACACGACACAACCCCATATTCAAGCATAAAAATCTATTTCAGAGTTAATATGTTATGGTTCACAAGGCTGGACTAAATCCAAACAACATTTGAGTCACACCCCATAGGAAACAGAAATATTTTTTTTTAATTTATTCAGTCAGAGATATATTACATAATTCGGCTGCGCTTTCAGGTGCGTCCCTTTTGAGGCAGAAGGCTGGAAAGCTCAGTTGTCGGGCGTGGCTTTAGGACTGTAATCAATAAGACTGGTATCGATGGAATCATAGTGAAACCACGGTCCGTCCCCCCTTTCTTTCATGAGCCAATACACTTCCTTCTCCTTCTTCCTGTTAAATGAAAGCAGCAGAGTGGTTTTACAGTGTTACTCGTGCCAAAAGTGGTTTTACAGTGTTATTCAACAGTTCAGATTTCTACAACCTTGATGAGCCGGCAGAAGCTTCTGGAATTTTGAGAAAGACTTGTGAACACCCTTCTCCCAAAATGGCTGCCATCCCCGGCAGCAGCTGGGATGGGAGAAGAGCGGGATTGGCCCCTTGCTTTGGGGAAGAGATGCAGATTGGTTTCGGTTTCCAAAGAAAGGATGTGCTCCCTGCACAGTCACAGGGAGAGGCTGCTGAGCCTAGAGACGTGAGAAATTCTGAGTCTGTAGCTAAGCCGAGGCTACATTGCTGCGATGTGACTGGCTGGAATGAGTCTAACGCTTTGCTAGTCAGGGCCAAAATAGTCCTGACGGTGTTCTCGTGGCTGCTATGGGGACGCCGCCACCATTTTGAAGTCATTTTAAAATGCCACAAGGGATGATCCTAATTGGGCCTGCAGCTCTTGCGTGTCCCCCACTGCATGCATGTTCAAGTGCCAAAACAACCATGGGGGGGGGCTTCCACGATAAGGCACAGTGGGGTGACAAGCACCTTAGCCCACAGAACTGTGGCCCTGCCCTCATGGGATTTCTAAATGGCGTTAAAATGGCGGCAGTGTCCTTGTGACAGCCACGAGAACAGCATCACATATAGCTTGGCCACCTGGTATCGTGTGCCCTGAAACTCCCTGTGTGTTTCTTCTTGTCCGGCAGTGTTCCCTCTAAGCTGAGTTAGTGTGAGCTAGCTCACAGTTTTTTAGCCTCCAGCTCACACATTTTTGTCTTAGCTCAGGAAGGAGGGCTCCAGAGCAAACTAATTTATGCAGTAGCCAAACTACATGCTCACAACTTTAATGCCAGTAGCTCACAAAGTAGACTTTTTGCTCACAAGACTCCACAGCTTAGAGGGAACATTGTTGTCCGGTGACAATTATCTCACCACCGTGTCTCAAGAATCAAGTGAGCATCAAGAAACCAAAAGGAGGGTCCCATGTTGGGGACTTCTGGGTTAGTTAACTACAACTGCTAGGGTTGCCAGTCTCCAGGTGGTGGCTGAAGATCTCCTGGGATTACCACTGACCTCCAGGCGACAGAGATCCACCTGGAGAAAATGGCCGCTTTGGAAGCTGGACTCTATGGCATTATACGCCACCGAAGTCCTGCCCCTCCCCAAACCCCGCCCTCCTCAGGCTCCACCCCCAAAATCTCCAGGTATTTCCCAGCCCAGAGCTGGCGACCCTAACCAGTACTAAGGCCACATCTGAATAGCACAGTGAACAGATTTACCTCACAGTTGAAGTCGGATGGAAGACAACTTGCCTCCACACCCTTTGCATATACTTAAGCTGCCCGGTGAAGTCAGGAGTGCTTGGAGCCAGCCCACTGCACCCAATCCCTCCGCTTAATTATTGTTTTACTTATTAGTTAAAATATTTATATCCCTCCTCTTACCGTGGTGCAAAAGCAGCTCGTTGTGTGAGCTTTTTCAGTGGTGCCCTGGTGTTATGGAATGGCTATCTGAACGCACCACTGAAAGCTCCTAACTTGCTGGCATCCCAGGGGTGGTGGTGAAACTAAACATTAAAGTCCATATTTGACACCCCCTGAGAGGTTTGTAAACCAGGGCTAGTTCTTAGGGATTAGTAAAATGTTGTGGTTTTCTAAGAAGGCATGGTTGCAGTGGTATTTCGTGGGCTCCATTGTATTTATGGGCTGGTGGTTGATAAATCAACGTCATTATCCGCCCAAGGCCCCAATTTTTATTAGGTATAAATATTTTAATAAAAACAAATAAATAAGCTCTGCAAAATGTAGGGACATGGCATT